ATTGCCTTGACAGCAGCAGTAGGTGATCGTACCGTCACTTCTTGCATCCGGGTAGCAAGTCTGTTTTTCAAGCCACACAGCCTGCTTTTTATATTCTCCACCGCCGGACATGCAACAAGCGTCGCCGGTGGTAGGGAAGAGAGGGCGAAGGCTCTGTGGAAATGGTGGAAATAACACGTCGCCACATCACCCCCCCCCCCCCCCCTCCCCCCCCCCCCCCCGCAGAGTGGAGAGCCCTCAGGGCTTATAAAAATCTGTGAAGCATACCCAACATCCATAATGTGTAAATGGAGCGAGCCATAGGTCTTCGCAGTGGACCGGTTCACCACACTGAGCTCGAAAGACGTAGATAGACAGGGACCTTAAAGATGGACACGTAGATAGCAGTAAATGTCGGAGCCGCAGTCGACAACGAACCGTTGCCTTGTGATTTGATCAGTGACGAAAATGTGGTGGCCTCCAGGTTGATAGCTGTCCATGTGCCCATTTTCAAGGTCCCCATCCATCTATGTCTTTCGAGCTCAGCACGGCCAACAGGACCATCATCAAGATCTACGGCGAGCTCAGCACTGCGAAACGGTCCACCATCAAGGCCTATGGTGATGCAACAAGCGTCACCAATGGCGACGCTGCAGTGTCGGTATTTCTTATCGGCCACGCAGTGCATCACGCAGCTGTGGCTCGCTGGGGTGGACAATGACAAGGCGAAGGCTCTCTTTCACCTTGTGATGTTCCACGATAAATGCTATGAGCTACCCACGCCATCCGTAGCTTGTCACGTGACTTCGCCCTCCCTGCATGGCACCGTCCAACCAAAAGGGCACGTCACACCCTCGAGCTATGGATTGGCCCCGGTGGATCATAGTCTCCCTTGCTGACCGTCTTAAGGTAAAACAAAGTACAGAAGTGTGTGCCATCGTGCTGATTCGCTGATGCCAAGTCGCGCTGCACATAGAGGTGAAATATTTTTGTCTGTTTTATTATTTAGCTGTCTCCACGTCTTAAGTCAGAACTACGCCGCTGATGCCATTTTCTCGAATATATAATTGACTTTGTGCCGCCACCCACAAGAAGGCACAGCTCACATTTTATTACATCAAACTGTTTTCCAACAAATCGTTAACTGCCACATGATATACGGTTCCGTTCCAGTTCGGATTCAGTATTACAGTGCAGTCCACTTATAACGATATTGAGAAAACCGCAAAATCCAATCGTTATAGCCGATTATCGTTATATCTGGATCAAATCAAATCTAAAAAAATAGCGATCAAATCTAAAAAATTTGATCGCTATAAGCGATATATCGTTATATCTGGTATCGTTATAAGTGGATTACACTGTATATGAACATTGAATTAGGAGAGCGTGTTGGTTAAACATCTTGGCATGCGAACGTAAAAGGAGACAAGGGACACAAGTGAGCACGGACGCTGTCTGTATCTGATGTGTTTTTTGTGTCCCTTGTCTCCTTTTGCGTTTGCTTACCTAGAATATTATATGCTTAATTTTGGTTACAGTTGTTTCAGTTCAGTCAAAATTAATGGTTTTGTTCCGGTTTTCAGTCCATATTTGGTTAGACACCCTGGTCATGTGACCTACCACGTTAGTGCCCATTCGCAAATTTGTAAGATATGAGGAAATACGTGCAGTACATTTATATGTAAAATTTATGACTGGGCAAGCGCCCATTTCCCATTCTCTCTAGATTATTTCTAAATTTTGAGTGGGCGCTTGCCCGGTATTTTACGGTATACACAAATTCAGTTTAACTGCTAAATTTTGAAGGGAAATTGATGTCGCGTGACCTGACCTTGTGAACATATGCAGAAATTCAGTTTCCCCGCTAAATTTGGTGGGAAAATTGATGTCACATGACGTATGCACCAGGTCAGTTCCCCCTTAAATTTTTAATATATAGGTTCTTCACTTACTGAAATGTCAGTTTAATGCCTTCTAAACAAAATTTCAATGACTCCTTAAGTGCGGCTTTTCATGCATTATAGAACTTTGGAGATAAAGGTTGAATACCAATTTTTTAAAACGGATTTTGTAAAACATTAGAAACCTTTCCCAGTTTGTCAAATATGCATGTGTTTGTCATTGTATCTCAGACGGATACTTCAGTAGCGTAGCGTCTGAAAGAATATTCAAAAAGTTTGTCACTATGGCTAAGCTGCTTCACGTTTCTAAGTAATTAGTGATTGGGGCATAAGAGAATACTTTAAAAAACCAAAGCTGAAAAACCATTGGTAATACTGATTTAAAGTGTAAAGGAATGTGGGAGAATGCTTTGCGACATCACTTTCAATGTTGCAGCTGCGACTTTGTTCCCTTTATCGTATGAAGAGAACTTCCTTCCATGCAGTTTCTTTTTTCTTCTTTTTTCGGTGGTGAAAACACTTTGAACTTGCGTGGCGATAGTCTGGGCTATATGAGAAGTGTTACAGTGCAGTTGGCACTTTTTAAAAATCACCGCAAAATTCAGTCGTGCACTTCTGCCATATTCATACAAACACGTCATTGTCGTCTACCGTGACGACACAGATGAGGTGCCTTCACTCGCGACAGAACACTGAAGACTATGATGTCCAGCTGTAGGTTTAGACATGTGAATGTATTACCTTCACAAACTCTAGCACAATGCTGCCTCATTGCAAAGAAAAACAGAAGCAGTCTTGTTACTTATGCCCTCATAGAAGATAAATGACAATAGTTACATCATGGGACAAGTGTCAAACACAGGTAGTACAACAGTGTAGCAGTTCAAAATTCTCACATCTATACCCTGTTGCTGGTTAAGAAATGCAGGACAAGCCCCTCCTCCAAAGCCCTGCACTCTTTCCACTTTAGCGGCGCTGGAGAGGACATGAGTGGACTCTCTTGCCTTCCTCCAGCGTGGCTAAAGTGGAGAGAGTGCAGGGCTTTTCGGGAGGAGCTTGGGTCCCGCTTTCCTTAACCTGCAACACGGTTTAGAGTGAAAGTTCAGCATACCTTGCTCTTGCATTTCGATAATTATTATGTCGCACGAGTACCCGAAGGGGTGGTGCAGGAATGCTTTCTGAAATTGGCCACTCGCCGCAGCAAAGCGGATGACGACGTGCATGTGCCGCCATCTCCGCCACTTTGCATCCGCCTTGTACTCCCGCAGTCCGTCGTCTTCAGCTCGCCGTTGATGCTTTATTTTTTCCTCTTCCTCGCGAACAAGGGGGTCTCGATGCCTGCAGAGCTTATATGCTGCCTCTCGCGCATAACAGTAGGGCCCCTGCGTCCTTTGCCGTTCTCGCGCCACTGCGACCGCCCATCTACTTTGCTCCATTCCTGCTCCTAAGACAGAGTGAATAATGTGTGGTCAGGCCATGTCTGAGGGTAAGAACTGAACGAGCCCGGGACCTCGCCTTTTTTGTTTTTCTACATGTGCGGAGACTTTTAGAATCCTGCAAGGGTGGCGGCAACGAGGAGGGGAGGGAAGAAAGGGGTAGGGGAGGAAGAAGAAGAGCATCTCGTCACGGATGGTGTAGCTGTGTGACGAGTGATGTTGATGGGGAGAGAGTGATAGCACATAGAACTCTGCACGGGCTGGGTGGCACGCATTGTTCGCGAGCCCAAGGCATGCTTTATGCTACTGTGGAGTCACCTCCATCCGGGCCTGGCTCAGGCCGGGCTGGATCAAGTCGGCATCCTATCAGGCTGTGCCCGGGTTGAATAAGACAGAGTCAACGGGCCCGGGTATCACTCTTCCTGCAATTACGTGGACTTTTGTGTACAAACAGGATTTTGCTGGAAAGGTGCACTCACTGCTACCGCTGTAAAAAGGAACTTCAGCGGAGAGCTCAAGGTACATGTTAAGAATATATGAACCTGCAGAAAACAACTTCCAGGATAAACAATAACTGCTGACAACTTCAACTCATTCTTTCATGTGTGGTATCCAGCCCTCTAGTCTCGACTTTGAGCACGAGTTGAGAAACAAAAACAGTGGTCTCGTATGGAGATTCTAACAGTGCCCTTTAAAGTTGAGAGCCCGTGCCTAGCCTTTCCTCTGTTTCATATTGTTAGTATCGGTGGATGGTCCCCACCTACTTTGTGGGCATGAGTGAATTGCTGCATGGCCTATAGACCAGATTTTTTTTAGCCTCGCTAGCAGACGCGAGCGGCACTCTACTCTCTATACCGAACGGCGCTTGCGGCGCGGGGGATTGCAGAAATCGTAGTGGTATGCCACAGTACACACAGCCTACACTATTTCTTTGGGTGTGCCGTTTGTTTTTTCGTTGTATAAGGTTTTAACACCAGCTTTAACGCCAGCGAAAATGGGGACAATGTCTGCTCAACCACAGTCCCCACGAAATGCCCGCAGGGTAGCGCCCCAGTCGCCAAAATATGGCCACGTGCTAAAACATAAAAAATTCTGTTCTATATGTGTTTGCAAGTACGGCCTCAAGGCTCCGCCATCTTGCTCGTTCCGGGTGCGCTTGGGTGTGGCCATAATTTGATCATGATGCATTAGCAAGGCATCGTAATCGGATTATGGCACGCCCAACCGCACCCCAATCGAGCAAGATGGTGGCGTCTTTAGGCCGTACTTGCAAACGTCTATAGGAGACCCGGGATAAACAAAACCACATGTCCACTCTTGAATCTGGTACTGGAGGCCGATATGCAAAATCGCCTTGTCATCTGACCTTTTTATTTGAAAAATCTATTCAAGATTGAGAGCAGCAAATACAACATATACAGATGCTTGTATGTCCTGTTTACCTTTGTTTCATTGCTTCACCGATCTGTGCAATCCAGTTTATGCTGAAGTACTAGTGCTCGGGGGCATCCAACATAAGATGGTGCACTCTTCAGACATATTCACTTACTATGTCAATCCCAGCGCAGGGTGCTTGTAATTTGTGGTGCAGGTGATGTTCTCGGAATTCATTATCTGTGTGATTAATGTCCAGATTTGCACACCAGACATATTGGTAACAACTGTCTTCTTTTCTTTTCAGGAGTTCCGTTACTTTGACTTGAGCTACTGCCACTGGAACAATGATTCAGTCACCTTTGTTGGTTAGCTGCAAGAAGGGTGGCCGGTACAGCTTTGTATGGAAACCAAATGCTACCTAAAATTGCTGCCTTGCTGTATTTTCACGAAAATAGGGCAGTTGTGATGTTCTTTTAAGCAGACTTAGCATGGTAGGGTGTCCTTTCTAGTTTTCAGCTGTGTAAATATATTCAGTTAATAAAATACAATTTCATAACCTGCATATGCAGGACAAACTGCAATTTGCGTCCTTGGAAGCTTTAGGGCATTTTGTTGGCTTTGTGCATTGCATGATTTGTCTGTTAACCTGGCTACAACTGTCAGGTATATGACGTATGGTCACAAATTAAAATGACTGATGTAATCATTGGAAATAAATGCTTTAGGCAAGCGAGCAACTGACTGCTTACAGTGACCTCGGCAGTGGAGAACAATGTATGATAGCCAACACTAAGGATTAGGGTCTACTGAGTTGTTGCAGATAGTTAATAAAATTTCAATAGAGCAACTACTGGCAGGAATAGAACCAGCGGCAGTATTTTCGGCTGGGTATTGGCTTGTCTCACTTTTGGCATTGTGTGGTCGTGACAAGCAGGGTTTGTTGGGTCCTTGAAAATCCTGGAATTGAAAGTAATTTTCAAAATTTTGAAAGCCCTTGATTTTTTGTAGTCCTCAAACTTCCTTGAAATTTGTGATTAGTTCAAGGAGATTGGTACTTGTGAGTTTTATATTGCAAATATTGATTTTAAAATGTTTGAGCAGGAAGTTACTTTAGCATCCCGATTAAGAGACATTAAGCAATAGTTTTTTAGGTGCGTGGCCACTGGAAGAAGCCGGTTATACTAATTCTTGGTAACACCCTAGCTCTAATGGTGCACAAAGGCATGCTTGAAATTGTGGGTGAAAGGGCAAAACCGTGCCTGAGAAGTGCCATTTCCAACACTCCTGGCTAAGCAATGGCTAAGAAGCTCGGGTTATGGATCCAATTATTTCAAATCGAGTGATCAAGGCAGGCGGTACCACATATAGGAGTCTGCTGTAAGGCTCACATATGTATATTATAGAAGCCCAGAAATATTTCTAAATTCAATAAAAAAAAAAAAAAAAGATTGACGCCATGAAAAAAAAAAAAAAAACGCAACAGTTGCAAGTTCCATATTTACCATCAATAGATAGCGGTGCTGGGAAAGCAGAAGGACAAAGCGTTATCACAGACTGCCAAGCCAATCAGCCTGAGGAAAACAGCGGAACAAAACCAATCATGATAAAGCTACATGAGCTTTCTTGAAATCTGCATTAGCACTTCCATTGCCACATTTACCACATTTTGCTGAAGTAAACCTATTGGTCACATTCAGAAACCTGTTGTATGGACTGACCCGCTTGCGATAAAAAAGTTATAAGGAAAGGCGAGGTTTTTCATTGACAAATGCAGGGGTTTTGCGCATTTCGTGTTGGGTAATGGACTATGCCTATCGCTGGTTGTACGCCCAGAGTTTGTATTTGTTGAATTGTGAATTACTTTGAGGGTAAATGGCTTGCACCGTCTGTGCTCCACAGTAGTGGTACCGGGTGGTTGTATGACTTGTTTGGGCTTCTTTTTACCTTTCCCTTTCACAAAATAAAATTTACAAGCAAGTTTTCACCTCATGTTTCAGTCTTGTTATCGGCAACATCCAGCCAAATATTGTAAGGCAAGTGTGATACGAACACGTTCGCATGTTATGGGTCAGCTATTTGGTTTCTGTATGAGGGAAATAAAACTTCTTTAATTGTCTTGATCATTCTGATAAACCCCCGGGGGGGGGGGGGGGGGGGGGGGGGGACACATAATGGTCTTGTGGGCTCCAAAATGCACCCGCCGGTAAAACTCGTCAATTCAGATTTATCGCTTGAGCTCCGAATTTTGATGTACCAATGCCCGAAAAAAAAGTCGGTATTTCAAGTTTGGTAAGTGCACAGGTTCAATGGTCCTGAAAAAAAATGCCACCCCAGTTTTCTTTTAAATCTCGGACCATTGACAAAAGGGGTCTTACCACTTATCTTGTCAAGGTTCATTCAGAACATGTCATTGCACTTTCGGGTCACGACAAAAGCCACTTCCGATTTTCAGTTTGGGCCACGAGGAAGAAGGGGTTGTGTTTTTGTAGCATTGAAAGCTATGATCCATAAAGATTTCATAGAAGGGGGTGCACCCTTTACCACTCCACCCCATGAAGAGATGGATAGGATGGAATAAATGCGAGCTTCCCAGCGACTTTCTCCAGGATATCGACATTTGTCGAAGCAGCACTTGTTTGCAACTTTTGTCATGCGACAAATTAGTATTGCCTCAACGCGAAATACAGCTGAAGATACACGCGCGTTCGCTTCAATCTAACATAACCCGGATATATTTGTATTCTTGAAAAATAGGAAACAGCAAAATAAGTAAACTCCGAATTTCTGAGAATTGTGGTATCTAACAAAAACAAACTCCGATAAAATTCGAAATTTACGGCAAAGCACTAAAACCGTGGGCAAAGCACTAAAACCGTGCAGTACAGCCAAAGCTACAGGAGAGGGCGTATGCCAACCTGTTCCAAGAGGGGGGAAAGGATGAACGGGAGACAAGGGCTGGGATTCCCCCGTTCCTCCTTTCCCTCCTCTTGAACAGGTCGGGATACATTCTCTCCCTTGTAGCTTTGGCTGTACTACAGTTTTAGTGAGACGGAGTAAGTATAGTTATTATATAGTAATAATAATAATAATGCTTTATTTTCCAGTATCCACAAACAACCTAGCGGTCTACTGTGTGGTGCACGAACATGGGTGAAGTATTATACATATAAGACAAAAATACAAATCATAAAAGAAAAACCAACAACGAACAAGCAAAAAAAAAAAAAAAGGGGGGAGTGGGGGGGGGGGGGGGGGGGGGGGGTTGGGGGCTGGGCTTGTAAGTCAGCGCTGCGTCCTTGTTACTTCGTCTAGTCCTTCCGTCTTTTTGCGCTGTTTTTAGTCCCGAAATATCTTTATGTTCTTTTAGATACTTCCCTCACTTAGCCATACTCCCAGATATTTGTATTTTTCTACGTTTTCTATTACTGTGTCCTGTATCTCCAGGGGTTCCCCCTTCTCGTCGTTGAAAACTATTATACCTGACCTGTCCCTACTGAAGTTTAAACCGAAACTGTCCCCTCCTCTGCTGCAAATCCTAATCAGTTCCTGTATTGTCTCACGACTTTCTGCTACGAGTATAATGTCGTCTGGATGCATTAATTCATACTTGATTCACTTTATGTCCTTCCTCCATGTAAGTCAGGTCAAAACCTAGGTTGCACTGCCCTAATCTTTTGTCCATCTCACTGAGGTACATCAAAGCGCAGGGGAGACAATGGGCCACCCTGTCTAAGTGCTCTTTTTGTTGCTGCTGGTCTTGTAGTTTCGGCTTCCCATGTTATAACCACTCTATTGTCCGTATAAACCCATTCTAGAAACTTGACCATGGTTCCCCCTAGTCCATATCCCTTCAGTAGGTCCCAAAGTTTTTCCTGATTCACCTAGCCCTTTGATGTCCAAAAATGCTACCCATAATGGCCTTTGACTTGTCATTGCTATCTCTATGCACTGAGTGATTACGAATAAGTTATCATCTGCCGTCTATCCCTCCTGAAACTGTTTTGAAGCTCCCCCAGAACCTTCTTTCTCTCTGCCCATTCTTCCATTCTTTTTACAATTTGCATAGCTATAGTCTGCATATTACTGAAGTTACTGTGATTGGTCTGCATGATTCAAAACTGTATTTGTCTCCCTTGCCCTTATATAATATTCTCATCCTGCTCAATTTCCGGTCACTGGGTACCTCCCTTTTGCCGCATTCCTATCCTTCTGGTTTATCTCTATCATCCACTGGACCCCTGCCCTCCCAATTTTGGCCTGTATTAATGCTTATGCATCCCGCTTCCTTTCCTGAAATTACTCCCATTTTGATGTTACTTCGGCTATAGTCGGTTACAAGTCAAGAAGGTAGGAGAAGCTCCTCCCACAAGCGTGATGCGCCCGTTTCAAGTCCCTCCGCAGTCGAAAGAAGAATTCACTGGAAACGCTCCTTGTTCCGCTTCAATGGATTCCCACTTGTCTCCGATCCCACTTTTTAAGAAAGCGACCTTTGTATTTATCAGAGAGGGAACCGAGCCCCTGAAAGCAGCCTTTGTATCCATCGGGGGGGAAGCTAATCCCCGAAAGTCGTATTTGTTTCCGTCGGTGGGGGAGAACTCTAATCTCCCTCTCGTGGCTTCCACAATGCTAAGTCTAAGTCGAAAGATAAAGCAAATATGTACAGAAAGGCAAGCCCTTCCTCGCGCGTTGGCCGCGACGTCACGGAAGCGGTGGAACGCTATTGGATGCGGAGGTGGCGGAGGGATATCTGATTCCCTTTGAGGGGCATTTGCCGCTACCTTCTTGACCTGTAACTGACTATAGTGTGGCCCCCTTTTTCTTTGCCCATCTGTGTTCTCTAGATGCCGCTTGGCGTCTCGATATTGCTGCCTTAACCTCTTTATCCCAACAGCTTTTGAGCTTGCGTTTTAGTTTTCTTTCTTCTTCTTTGATTCGATATTTCTCTCTCTTTTGAAAACACTAAGTCTTCATATATCCTATCTCTTTCGGGTTGCTTGGATACTATGTTCCCGATTCGCTTAGATATGTTTATCATTTAAGTCATTCCCACCCTTTTGTTTTTGATTTTGCATTTCTGGTTTTACTTTGCCAAATCTGATCTTGATTCTCTTATGGTCGCTCCCCAGACTTTTTGTGCCTTCCTCATCTATTTCCATACCTCCTAATCTGCTCTGTTGTATATCTTCCTCGACATTAAACAGTAGTCAATAGTCAAGTGCGAGTTCTTTCTTTCCTATGTTATTTTTCCATCACATTTTACTTGAGCGTTAACCAATGCGGAGGGCAAGTTCATCTGCTTCTTGCGCAGGGGGTAGCGGTGACGTCAGAACGCCGAGCCCTGGTTGGCTGATCGCGACCCCCTATCTGAGCGTCGTCTGCTCCTTTGCAACGTCGTCTGCTCGCAATGTCGTCTGCGTCTGTCTTACCTTTCCTGCGACTTTCGAAAGTGCAGAGGCCAGAGGCCTGGTTCACAAAACGATCTTACGCCAAAAACATGCGTAAGACAAAACTTGAGAACAAATTCGTATTCACGAAACGAAATTTTCGTAAGTTTTGCGCAGGTTACGACGAAATCCTACAA